AGATAGAGATAGAGATAGAGATAGAGATAGAGATAGAGATAGAGATAGAGATAGATATAGAGACAAAAGAATGATGTATCAATCCAAAAAGAGACAGAAAGAGGAGGAGTTGCAAGCTTAGCAGTGTCTACATTAACAAAAACAGGGTATTTGACAGTCTATATCTCTATATGTAACTGGCTCGCTCGCTCTCTCTCTTTCCCCCTTCGTCGCCCCTCTCGCTTTGCCTTTATATATAGTTAGAGTATATGCATATAATATTTTGTTGAGCATGTTGCTGTTGTTGTTGTTGTTGTTGTTGCTGCTGCTGCCTCCTGCTGCTCTGGCTGCAGTTATCGCTCTCGGTTTTGGCAGATTTCTCGCTTTTGCACTCATTTGGTCTATTGATTTTCTTTCGCCTTGTTTTCCGTGTTTATTTTGATTTTTATTTGTATTTGTATTTTTCTGCTCGGTTTTGTTGTTGTTGTTGTTGTTGTGTTTTGTCTCGTTGCCTGCATTTGTTTGTGGCCAGTCAGCCGGACACGGGGACGGTCTGTCCGGTCCCGTCCGACTGCGATCCGGTCTAGTCTGGTCTGGTCTGGTCTCGTCTCGGTCGGCCAGTGTTACAATGCAACAGACAGGCAGCAGCGAGCAGCGAGCAGCGAGCCGGGCATTGTTTTTGTCCTGGTCCAGGACACGCTGGCCCATGCATTGTATTGATTTTTTGCGGGCAACCCTTTGCGCTGGCAACAGCAACCGGCTGCTGCTGCTGCTGCTGCCATAAAAAGTCATTAGTGAGAGAGGACTCTGGCTGCTGAATGGGCGTGGGCGGGGCCGTAGCTTCGAGTGCATAATGGCACAATTTAAATACGTGTGCAGCGTGGCGACTGCCATGTGAATGAACCGTGCAACGGAATGCAGCAGGCAGCATGCGGCATGCGGCATGTGAAGCCTTTAAGGCCCACGCGGCCCACGCGGCGTATGCGCAATGTGCCGTGGCAATTTCTAAAGTTTTTGCCTCCTCTAGCTGCAGCGCAAAACAATAAACTGAAAGCCATTTGCTTTTGATTTATTGACGCACGTACTACATGTGTGGCATGCAACAAGCTGTGTGTGTGGAGCTGAGCAAATGGAGTTTCGGACATGAGCGGAATCGATGGCGTAATGATTATCTATTAAAATAAATCACGTATTTGGCAACAGGCGACGCCAACTTGAGCAATTTTTCCCCAAAGTGTCGAAGTCTATAAATTGCCAATGTCTGTGTGCTGCCCCCTCTCTCTCTCTCCCTCTCTCTCTCCCCTCTCTTTGCCTGTCTCTGAGTCAGGCCTTCATTTTGGCAGCGCGCACAAATTGCCGTTGACAGGCCGTCGGGCAGACAGCGTGAAGCGGCGCGCGGAGCGTGGCATAAATATATCCAACTTGACTGTAAAGTGCTTAAGCCTTTGGCCAGCAGCAGGCAGCTAAGTGAAATGGACATAAGAAGCGCTTACAAAGCCAAACGACGATGGCACGATAAAAACGTTAAGAGCCGCACACTTGTCAGCCCAAGCCCAAGCAGCCCAGAGGCAGCGCAGACTTGCGCCCTGAGCCTACAAGGAGCTCCAATCAATCCATGCGAACTACAGCTTAGGCTCGTGTTACAGCCGTTGGTCATTCCGAGTTTCAGTTGACGAAAATGTGAAAAAAAGAAATAGAAAAAAATGCTTGCTCACTTGTAAGCGGAAATGAATTCTCCAATTCCCTCTCTCTTTGCCAAGTGCGAGCACAGATGGAAATTGTCTTTGATTGCCTGCAGCTTAAGGGACATTCCAGGATTGTGCCAGGCCTGAAAGTTGGCGAAATTGAGGCGAATTGAAATGATTTTAGTTTCAGTTTTAATTAGTTGTGGGTGTTAAGTAAACAAAACTAAAGTTGGGCTGACTCTGAGGAATGTTTTGCGATTCTCTAATTTATTAAGCTTAAGGCAATTTTAAGAGCTTAAATACATATGTATATTTGTGATTTAGTTGGAATATGCGAGTGTATTGAATCTTTTCTGGAATGACATATCCAATTGAAGCATCGATAAAACTGTGGGAGTTATATATTGATAAATCTTAAGGCACATTTATGGCATTCTCTGGAAAACTGAGCAGAAAGTTGGCTAAAGAAAAGTCAAATTCTAGGAAAATATTAGCTATATTTATTCTCTCTCTCTCTCTCACTCGCACTTATTTTAATAATATTTATATATTATTATGTATAATTTTATTCTTTTTTAGCAAGCTGAATTGCAGTTGTTATTGCTTTCTGGGAACTTCATAAAGTTATTTGCTTAGTTTCACAACTGTCTCTCTCTCTGTTTCTCTCTCTCTCTCTCTGTCTCTCACCCTCTCGCTCTCTTGTTTCACGCCTAACTGCACACGAATTGCATAGGCAAATCTGCTTAGGCTTGCAATTTTTCTATAATTTTCGCATGTTTTGTTCTTTTTGCTTTCGCTGCCTTTTATTTTGCTCTATCTCTCTCTCTCTCTCCCTCTCTCTCTCTCTGTCTGCATTGTTTCTTGTTGCTTGTTGTGCTCGCACTTTTCAACTAATTGCCAGCAATTTAGCAAACGTTGCCCGTGCACTGCGGCGTATGCGTAATATTTATGCAGCTTACCTCTCCCTCTCTCTCTCCCACTCTCCTATCTATGTCTGACTTTTGTTTGCCGCTGTGCATGCCCAGTGCGCACATTTGCCGCATAATTGCCAAGTCATGATTTTTTACACACCAAAAACCGAAAAACAAGGAGACAAAAACGAACGAACAAAGTACATGGGGAAACATAAAACGAAGAGCGAAATATGTGCGGAGAGAAAAGAAAAAAGATTTGCACCGTGTTTGCTGTTGATATTCGCACTGGGCATAATTTCCATGTTGCTTAAACGGCACTTTTGTTGCTGTTGCTGTTGTTGTTGCTGTTGTTGTTGCTGCTCTTCTCCTTCTACTTCTTGTAGTTGTTAATGTTGCCTTTGTTGTTGTTGTTGTTTTGGGTCCCATTTCCAGTCGTTGAGTTCACTTTATCGTTATTGACAGTTTTACTGTGTTGTTTCTCTTATTCCATACACTGTTTGTTGACTGCTAAGCGGGTATATTGGTTCAACATACGAGCTGTCATCATTTGATGTACTGTTAGTAAAGTGAAAACGGGTATATTAGGCTAGGGTAGTGCAAGGAATAAAATGATGGCAAATCACATTGTAAGAGTTGTTACGTCACTGTCTTCTGTTAGTAAAGTGAAAATGGGTATATTATGCTAGGGTAGTGCAAGGAGTGAAATGATGGCAAATCACATTGTAAAAGTTGTGACGTCACTGTTTGAGTTACACTTTGAAAGTCACAGTTGCAGGTTTTCATTCACACTTTACAAGTCCTAGCGAGTCACAGCTTGGAAATCACAGTTTACATTGCATACAGAGTTTATAAATTGCGACTTTCGAGTCACAGTTTGCTCTGTCGCAGTAGAGTATGGCGCAGTCGCCTATTGCCGACTGTCGCTGCTGCCTTGTTTTTGTCATTTTCTCTTGTTCTTGCTCCTTATCAAACTGTCTGTCCCCCTTGCATAGTTTCTCTTTCAGCTTTCAGCTTTCAGCTTACAGCTGTGCGCAGCATGCAGGATCTTACCTTGGGGAGCAGTCACTGGATTCGTTCCGGACTGGTCACGGGGCAAGTTAATGTCATGTCAAGCGGCAGACGTGTTGAGTGGAGTACTGGCGCAGGGGGCAGGCGGGGCCCGGCAACTCTCATATAGGGCGGCTTAGAAGCCTGATATCTGTTCACTTGAGCTCAACTTATGGCGCTCCAATTTCGCGCTGATGCATAATTTTTGCCGGCGCGCATAAAAATGCGCTCAAAGGGGGCCGCAAAAGCCAACCAGGAACAGACCATGGAACAGAAAAAGGAAGAAAAAAAAAACATGTAGGAAAATGTGGGAAAAACTAGGCAAAAGCATTGGGGATAAAGCGAAGCAAAAGTTCTATATGAATGCGTGACAAGGGGAACGCGCCTGCCTTTGGCTCGTTTATCTTTGCAACGGACTCGAGTGCCTAGTGCGTGAGTGTGTGTGTGGGAGGGAGAGAGAGTGAGAGTGTGTGTGTGTGTGTGCGTGTGTGTTGGCCTAACAAAAACAAATTGCATTAAATTGAAGCGCCTTGCGCTGCTTTAATATTATTCAGACTCAGGAGTCTGATCATTCCTCGATTGATTTTCTTGCTCTTTCTTTCTTTCTTCTTTTGGCATCTCTCCTCTTAGCATCGTTCGCACGTTGTGTCCATTTATTCCAGAGTTCCTTTACCAGTTCTGATAGTATCCATGTAGTCTTCAGTCCCAGGCTGTCATGGACGTGGTCTGCTCCTGCTGCCTTGATCTCTCGGATCTCAAACTCTTGTCTCTTTTACGACTATTCTATAAGTCTATGCGGTTCTCCATACGACTTACAATTGTCAAAGTGAACTGGCAATCAGATTCTAACCTATAAAAAGGGAATGCTCAGCACTCGGAGCTGGCGCTACGCTTCCTCGAGCAATGGGCTGGGTAGATGCCAGGTCAGAAATGTTTTTACTTCACCTACTACGACTGCAGCACGTCTATTAACTTTGGTTTATATACACTGAGGAAGCAGTTCGCTCTATCTGCAGAACCCACTGCATGTGTGTGTGTGCGTGTGCGTGTGTGTGTGACATGATTAATAGCTGCGCTGACAGTTGACTGACTGTCGTCAAGTGAAATCACAAGCGTGGCAAAAGAAAAGAAAAACGACAAGAGGAAAATGAGAAAAATCCAGCGCAGCTTTAAAATGAATTTGCATGGGGCGAAAGAAAACGCGAGATGGGTTCAAAGTTCAGCGCACTGAGCGCTGTTTCGAGCACATAAATAAATAATGAATTTTCTAACACTGGCATTAAAGATTTTAATGAATTTCGCAGAGCGTAAAACGTAAATAAACAGAGAAAGAGGCGAAACAGGAACGGCAACGGCAACGGCAACGGGAACGGGAAAGGGAAAGGGAAAGGGAAACGGGAAGCAGGCAAAAAGGACGATATCAGACGCGGAGCCATTAAAACGCTTCAATCACAGCGCAAATCTGTTCATGTGTGCGCCAAACAAAACAGAGAGAAATTAAATAAACAAACAAACAAGCGGCAAAAGCAAAACGACGCAAACATCGCCAAACGGAAAACAAAAATAAAACGAACTGAATAACAAAAAGTAAAAAAGCAACAAAAAACATCAGCGAAATTCGGCGTTTAAAATTCACACATAAAAAATGTAATGGAAAGCATTAGTGCTCATAAAAAATGGATTTACACAGCCTTTTTAAGGCTGTCCTGATCCTGTACATCATACGAGGTGAGTACCAATTGCCACAGTCCCAAAGCTCCACAGACATCATTCAATCGGCCCCCCACTCTCCCTCTCTCTCTCTCTCTCTATTGTTGGCAACAATTGCTGTCAATTCTACAATTCCATGAAAATATATATGCATAATGAAAAAAACATACATACATATATTATTTTTGTATATACGTACATTCATATTTGTATATATGTACATACGAGGTATGTTCAAAAAATATAGCAAATTCGGTAGGAAATATAATTTCAAATTATATTTTCGATAAATATCGAATGAAAGCAGCAGCTAAAGATCATAAAAAACACCAAAATTAAAAAATACCAAAACTACGCCGTCAAAGGTGAAAGAAACTAAGGATCATAAAAATCCCAAAACTGAAAAATGCCTAAATTACGCACATAGGACATAAAGCTAAAGATAATAAAAAATACCAAAACTAAAAAATATCAAAAGTACGACAGCTAAACATTGCTAGAGCATTTAAAATGTCTAGTTAGATATTCATGAATAAATATATAAATAAATACTTTTGAAATGCACCTCGTATGGCCATATATATTTATATAAATTTATATATTTATATTTTTTATTATGCAACACATGATTAGGGCATATAGGGCTATGCAAAATGCATTCTTCATGTAATATTTGCCAAACTATTTGTTGTTGTATTTTTGTGCAAAGTGTAGGATTAAATATACTAGCAAAATTTATGAATATATAGTTCATTTATATGCGAGCGACTATCAAATTAATATGTTTTGCAACTGACATTTAAGCACTCAGTAAAAGAGACTCTATATGAGAGGAGGAGAATCCAGCTAAATTTACTTAAATATATTTTGGCATATTTTATTTGATTTATATGTATGATTACCTTATTAGAAAACCGAAGTGTTCAAAATATACTTATTTATATATCTGTCTGTAATATATAGGGTATCTGTTTGTCTGTCTCTCACACTCTCTCTCTCTCTCTCGCTCTCTCTCCTGTCGTCCTTTCAATTTCCGTTTGACTGATCCTTGAGCTCAGACTGGCGCCTTGCAGTATGCAACGCTTTTTTGTGGCGGGCGCTGGGCTAAAAATAATTAAGCTGCGTAGCCAGTTGCAACATGTTGTTGCTGCTGTTGCTGTTGTTGCTGTGGTTGCTGTTGTTGCTCTTGTTGCTGTTGTTGCTGTTGTTGTTGCTGTTTGCTGTTTCTGCTGCTGTCGCTTCTTTGGCTTGTCTTTTGTGCGCTGTCGCCTGCAACATTTCCACAGCCACTTTGTCCACTTTGGCTAACAAGCCAGGCGTGTGGCATGCGAGCTCTCCCCCTCTCACTCCCTCCCACTCCCCTTCTCGCTATCCTGGTTGGCATTTTGTTTCAGGTTTTATGTTTTTGCGTGTTTTCTTGCTTTTTGCTCTGCGCTCAACTCAAAAAGCCAAAGTTATCAGCAAAAGATCAACGACAGCGTGTGTCCCCCTCCCATCCCTGCCCCTGCCCCTGCCACAGCTGCCAGCTCCCAGTTCCTTTGCCTGGCAGCCACAGGCGCTTTATTTCCTATACTTTGGCTGCTGTTGCTGGTCTCTGACTGTGACAATCTAGGCTTTTCTTCATGCTGCTGCTGCTGCTGCTGCTGCTTGTTGCTGATTATGCGCTGCATGCTGTCGCTGGCTTGGACAATGCCACAAAAGGCGCTCTAGCCGCTGCTGCTGCTGCTGCTGCTCCTGCTGCCTGTTTACTTGGCTTTGCCATTGCTGTTCGCTTTTTGTTTCATCAAATAGCAAAGGCAGCTCAGGCCCGTCCGTCCGTCCGTCCGTCAGGCCAGGCTGCATAATCTTGGCCGCCGCCCGTAGAGCTGCTGACGAAATGCCACGCCCACCGACTGGCCCTCAGCTTGTGTGTGTGTTGCAGTGTGACATTCGAGGTCATTCACATTTCGAGGGCGTGTTGTTGAACTTGGTGTTGCTGCTGTGTGTGTGTGTGTTGCTGCTGCTGCTGCTGCTGCTTGGGCGTGTTGCATATTCGGTTGCTAAATGCCCTGATACATTAGACAATGAGCAGCTCTAATTATGTCTAGCGTCTGCTTAAAAACTGCAATTAACATTTGAGCCCAGTTGTTGCTGTTGCTGCTGCTGCTGTTGCTGCAGTTGTTGCTGTTGTTGCTTTGTGCCCTGAAGTGTTGGTGCACGCCAGCGGCAGAAAGTTGGCTTGTAAATGATGCTGCCGCCTCGAGTTGCCGCGAGGCATACAAAGTTTAACCATTGTTGTTGCTGCTGCAGTTGCTGTTGCTGCTGTTGCTGCTGCTACTGCTGTTGACTTCGTTTCTTTGAGCTGCAACAACAACAACAGCAACAAAAGTGAAACGTGTGCTTTTCAATAATTCAGTTTTATGGCACAGAACTCAACGTGACGTGCGCCTTTGTCTGCAGTTGCCGTTGTGACTTTTAAAGTTGGCGCTCATTAGTGAGGCAACAGCAACAGCAACAACTGCAGTTGCAACAGCAACAGCAACAACTGCTGTAGCAGCAATGTCTGCAACATTAATTGAAATGCTTTTCACTTTTAGCAGCTGCAATTTAATTGCATACTTTGCTGTGCAAAGCAGCAGCCGCAACAACAACAACAACAACTGGCAACAGCACAACAGCAACATGTACAGCAGCAGCAACAACAGCCGCGCTTAGTCAATAACGAAAATTCAGCTGTAGCATTAAAATGTTTGCGTTCAATCGCAACAATAGGCAGGCGGCGTATACCCTGTAAAAAACAGGCGACAGCAATAGGGCATGCTGCACTGAGAGAGAGAGAGAGAGAGAGAGAGAGAGAGAGAGAGTGCAAGCAAAAGCAAAGGCAAGGATACATGTCAACTTTTGTACAGGGTAACTGCTAGTCGTTCAGCTTTTCAGTTGCTTTCTGCGGCTGTGTTTGCGTCGAAGCGGCAACAGCTGAATAAAGTCAAGGAGCTGCCAGCGCTGTGCGTGATATGACCTAAGCAAATACACTTTGCTAACACACACACACACATGGACATACACACACACACTCACACACGCCTAGAGGTATATACAAATACCGTTACGCTCTGTTGCGTCGAGACAGAGACATGGGGCTGGCGGGCGGAGGGCGGAGGGCTTTAGGCAGTGGAACGCTCGAGTGAAGCAGACGCCTCGCATTAGTCGAGGCTTTTAAGCAGAAAAATGCGTGCACTTGAACCGAGTGGGCGTGGCGAGGACGAGGCAGCTGACTCCTGTGGCCCTAGCTACAGCTACAGCTATAGCTTTGGCTGCTTAGCCAGCCAGTTGGCTGCTTTAAATGTGAAGAGCTGGGGCCAGTGCCTCAATCAAATGGCAACGCTGCGCCTCGAATGCTGTTTATATTTGTCAAGCCATTTCCCCATTGCTCCGCCCCGCCCCGCCTCAGTCCCGCTCCATTGACAACACTGCCTTTTCCTATTGGGCCCCTTGACAGCAGACAAAAGCCTTATGCAAATCAGCTTTAACCTGCTCCTGCTCCAGCTGCTGCTCCTGCTCCAGCTGCTGCTTCTTCTTCTTCTTGCTCTTCTTTTACTTTTTCGACTCTGGAAATTGCGTTTTCATTTAAATGCTGCTCGGAAAAACTTTGACGCTGCGAACTTGTCGCTGGTTTTTATTGCTCTCTGCTCTCTGCCTTCTTTAAGATTTAGGGGCTGCTGGCTAAGGCTAAGGGTGGCTGCTGTGGCTGTGCTGGTTGGGCGTTTTTGATTTAGTTGAGCTTTGAAGCCCCAGCGCTTCTCATTATTTACAGTTTTTCCTGACTTTTGCTTGGAAATTAAAGATGTGCCCGCTGGCTCGTTAAAATACGCTTACAGCGCGCATTATGCTAAGCGAAAGAAAAGTCCAATTTATTCAGGCAGCAGTTATAATGTGCAGGGGGTGCAGGAGGATGTAGTACAGAAAGTAAATGTCTATAGCTAGAAGGAACTCGAGTTGATCGTGAAATGCAGCAAAGCTGAATGGACTCTAGGCATCTTCATTGTGAAGTGTTCATCGAATTTGATGAGCATGGGCAGGAGAAGTGAATATTGTATCTACTCTTGAAATGAGCTCTGTATGATGATATGCAAGGACTATTCCGCTATTCAAGACTATTGCTGCTTCTTTCTCTACTTAACTCAGAAGGAGGCACAGCATTTAGAAGGAGAAGTAGTATGAATAGTAGTATATGGATCACATACTAGAATATGGAACTTAGGAACTTAAGAGCTCTAATTTGATAAGAGTTGGCAGCACTGTGGAGAATGGATGCAGTTTTATTTTAAGTTATATATTTTAATGCAATTTTATTTTATAATACATTTTATAATATATATTTTATATCAAATGTATTTTAAGTTATATATATTTTATTTAAATTATATTTCAAGCTTTTTTTTTTTTTAATCAAGTCTTCATTTAGCTAGTTTCTCAGCTTTAAAAATCTGTTTACTCAGCTCAAGTAAATACTTAGCTCTGGCTTGAATATCCTCTCCAACTCCTGCCACTCCTCGCATGGCCACATCTATAGCCCCTGCTTGAGTATTTCATATTTGACACCCCCAAACATGGCTCCATTCGCTCGCTCGCTCGCTCGCTTTTCTTTTCTTTCATTTGCTTTCACTTTGCCGGGATTTTCTTCTTAATTACGAAACGACTTTCTTTCAGGCAGCGCTGCCATTTGGAATGGCTGCATTCCTGAATAGAAATCTAAATGGGCATCTTGCAAATGGGGCTGCTCCCACTCCTGCTGCTGCTGCTCCTGCTGGAAGGCAGCTGAGCTGAAGTGAGGCAGGTTGCGATTTGCTGCTGCTGCTGCTGCTGCTGCTCATTTGCATTTCGTCTGGCAGTGATGTCTGTCGTTACATAGCTGCCGCTCCTGCCGCTCCTGCTGCTGCTGCTTCTTGCTTTTCTTTAGCTGCCAGTCATTTCCGTCCAGCAGCTTTTAATGAACCGTGATAATGATGAGCGCTGCCTGCCGCTGGCATGGCTCGCACTTTTATAGCATCTCATTCACTCGCTCTCTCTCTCTGTGTATCCCTCTCATATAATTGATTTTAGTTGAGTTGTGGGCGTGGCAGCTGCTACTGCTGCTGCTGCTGCTGGTGCTCCTCAAAGTCCTTTGGCCATTTTGATTGACAACGCTGACAAATGGTGCGGCGTGTATTCAATTATGTGCAAAGTGGCAGCAACAAAGGCGCGCGCAACATGCAACACGAGCAAGGGGGCGAGCGAGGGGACGACAGACACAAGCAAAACCTTATCGAGTTTATCAGACGGTCATTGTGTTGCGTTTATGCCGCATTGTCAGTGCCACACGCCACACACACAGAGAGTGAGAGAGAGAGAGAGAGGGAGAGATAGATACAAAGACAGACGTGCCACAAAGCCATAGATAGTCAGCTACATTACCATCATCATCAGCCACACACTCACACACACACACACTCACACACATAGAGAAGTTATATGGGGCACGTTTTGATGTCACATTTTGATCGCATCCGCGCGCTGGCTTTGTTGGCAGCACGCCCTTTGTTGACCACATAAATAACCTGGCTCTGGCTCGCATTTCAACTGGCGTTTGTTTTGCTCGACTTCAATTAGCCGACAGCTGAACTCGACAGTGCCTCGCCCAAGCTGACAAATTTCATTTTCATTAGACTGCAAAATCTCTGGTTGCAACAGCAGCGGCAGAGGCAGCGATAGCGCCGTTAGCTGAAGAGAAAAACTCTATCGTAAGTGACTTAAGAAACTAAAACTGTAAATTTAATGTGCTGGCCCGCTGTGGCATCAACTTGTGGCAAACACTTTATACTTTTCGCTAACAATTTTTGCCTTGCTCGCCGCATTTCCTTTGGGCATTGCAGTTGACAGCTACACACACACACACACACACACACACACACACACAGGCACAGAGAGAGGCAACGAAAGTGGCACAAAGTTTGCAACACTTTCGGCTTGGGCTTTTGGGGGCAACTCAACTAAAGTCTGCTTGTCTCTGTCTCTCTCTGTGTGTGTGTGTGTGTGTGTGTGTGTGCGTGTGGTGCACTCTCCAATGCTCTAGCGTTATCTCTTGGCCAATGGCTCTTTTGACAAAACAATTTTTCATTTTATTGCTGCGGCTGAAAATTGCTTACAAATTTAGTGCTGCATACTTTGCGGCTGCTGTCAAAAATGCTCCACTTCCAAGGGGCGCTCTCAATTGCCATTTCTCAGCGAATTCGCTGGAAATTCCAACTTCCCTTATGACTCAATTTGTATTTTTAGCTCGCACAGAGTTTGCCTAATTGTTGCTTATCTATTTTGGTGATTAGACAGTATAGTAAAGCCCTCAATTATTTCTGTTTGATGTTGAGAGTCCTCTATATTTCGCCTCATTATTGCTATTCCAGTGAATTTTATATTTATTTCTGAGCAAATCTATTTCCAATCTTACCTAATTAATGCTGCCGTTGCTATAGAAACTCCACAACTTAAAGCAAACTTTTCTCACTCCATTCAGACTCTCGCTTGCTCACAGAAAAAATGGCTAAATTCGAGCGAAATTATTTTACCAGCTCATAAATGTCGCAGCACAAACTCTCTCCCTCTCTCTCTCTCTCATTTTTTTAGTTTTTTAAATATAATTAAATTATTCATGCAGTTGCTGGGCATAAAAAATGTGCAAAAGAAAAGCTGAAAAAAACAAAATTTTTATGTGTTATCTACACGAGTTGCTGTGCGGCATAAAAACGGGTCACTGCACTGCCGAGGCAACGCCTCAAGTTGTCCGGGAGCCGCAATGCAAATATAGCTTGACACACGCCCACACACACACAGACACACACACACACAGAAGCATCCCCTCGACTGCCAAGTGAATAATAAATATGGCATAAAAGCCGCATCGAAAGCGCCTTTAAAACACAGCCGCAACAAAATTATGCAATGCTTTGGCCGGCGGCGGAGCAATTAGGGAAGACGCAAGTTGGCCGAGATGCTGGCACACCTGTATATAGCAGCTGGCCACAGGTAAAAAGCAATTGTCTTTTCGCTTTGTGCGTGCCTTTGTTGCGGGCCTCGGGCGAGGCTCATTAAAATTTGGGCCAAGCCGCAGGGGCTGGCCCTCAGTCAGCCCTCAACGCTTGCGTCACTGCCACTTAATTCTGGCCAGAAAAGTTTGCGGCTTAAATGAAATTGAAATTAACTTTGGCCGCTCGTGCATTACACGCTCGCGGCTGCCAAACTAAATACATTTAGCTCCATCTCACTCTCTCTCTCTCTCCCTCTCTCTTTGCAGGTGAGAGCAGCTTTACTGTGCACGGCTTGGATCTGCAGGGACCGATATTTCTGCACGAGCCGCCGCATCGCGTTGAGTTCTCCAACAATTCGGGCGGCCTGATAGAGTGCTCCGGCCATGGCAGTCCCCCACCAGAGGTATGTATGTGTTGACTGTATGAAATGGGCGTGGCATGTCGCCTGCTTAATTATGCATGCCACTCTTAGTCTGGCGCTCATTTCCAAGTTAATTGACTGCCCGCACAGAGCAGAGCGTGAATGTAGGAGAACATAACTAATACGCCCCCTTGTCGCAGGTGGAATGGACGCCGATACCGCCGCAGCAGGACATGGTCTTTCAGCTGTCCAATGGCAGCATGATGTTCTATCCGTTCACGGCCGAAAAGTATCGACACGAGGTGCACGCCACCGTCTACAGGTGAGTCTGAGCCCGCGTGCAGCACACTGCGTATACTTGATATCTGATTTGTCACCATCTCTCTCTCTTCAGATGCAAACTACGGAATCTGGTCGGCACCGTGCTCAGCCGGGAGGTGCACGTGCGCGGCGGTAAGTGGCTCGCGAGTGTATTTAACAAATTTTTTAATTAATTTACGTATAATTCTATTGCCGCTGCGGCAGTTGATTTGCGCCAACTCAGCCCGGCGCGCCTCGAATGAAAAGCTCGAAAAAGGCGAGCGGAAAAACTTTCGCTTTAATTGCAAAGTTTTGGTAACGCAGCGCCTAACGCAAGTTTTAATTACTGCTGCCAAAAATGTTAGCGGGTTGGCGATGAGAAGGCAGGGCGAGAGCGGGTGAGCTCTGCCGGATTACAGCCAGCGCCACCAATAAACCGCCCTAAGCTCGGCGCTAATTTGGCGCCCAAGCGCGAGAATTGACTCTGGCTCTGACTGTGGCTCGGGCTCTGGCTCCTGCTCTGACTCTGGCGCTGACTCTTTCGGCTGGTTGCCCTAACCACGCTGCGAGTTTCATTGCTGGGCAACTGGGTTGGGGCAGAGAGCGGGGCAAATGTGCTTTAGCTACTCCCTGAACACGTTTCGCTCGCATTGCGAAAAAGAAGTCATTAATTTGTTAAAGGAATATAAAGTCTGAATATTTCTAATATTTGATTAGATTGCTTATATGAGTCCTGACTTTGCTTGATTCTTTCGCTCCTCATCTAGCTTTTCAAATCTTGCCTTACATATTTTTATCTTTTCCTTTATTCTCTTTCCTCTGGTTCGCCTTTGCCTTTTCCTTCCCTTTTTTTAACTTTCTATCTCATTAAATTTTTCTTTTCCGTTTGTTTCGTCTTTCTCTTGTGGATTTTCTTTTTACTTCTATATTCATAGTGTTTCCTCTTCTGCATCTTCTTCTATCCCTTATTTATTCTACATCTTCTTTGACTGCTTTTTCTACAGCTTTTTCTACTTCTTCTTCCACTTCTCTTTCATCTCCTTTTTCCACTTGTCATTCTCTTTCTGTTCTCTATCCTAGACTTTCTTTTTTCTTTTTCTTCTCATTCACATGCTCCTTCTCCTCAACATCTCAGCTTCTCCTAAGTTTCTTCTCATATTCTCAATCCTCCTTCATTTCCTTATCTCGTTTTTTCTCCCCTCCTTCCTTCCCACTCTTCTCTAATTACTGAGATTCGCAGAGAAGTGCCTCTTAATTTACTCAAACATTAAGAGTCCCCATAAAGATTGAATTTGGCGCAGCTCGAAGCACAATTTTTTGGCTCTATGAATACAAAAACTTTTCAACTCGCAACTTCCGCAACTCTTTACCCCCCCTCACACCCGTCAAAAGAAGAAAGTTTGTCCAACTACTCTATTTTTGTTAGTTTCTTTTAATTTTTGTCCAGCTTCAAGTAGCTGCGAAACTTTGTCATTCATTAGGCACTTGGCGAGGGCTCTATTAAAGTGCATTAACGAGGCAGTCCAGCCGTGGAGTCGCCGTTGTCCCAGCCGAAGCCAATCACTTTGATTGGCATCGCTTGTCGCATAGATTTTCTGGCTCATTTGGCCCCCAACTGCTCGAGCTGCTCCCGGGCTTCGGGCGGCCACAGTGAATGCTGGCGCAGACAAAAACAACAATTAGCACTGGCCATAAAACCTATGAATGCCATATAAAATGCCCAGTTGCGTAGATAAAACTCTCAAAGGGAAAGCTCGTGACTCTTGACTTTTGGGGCTGCTGCGGCGGCTGCTCCGTTTAATTAACAGGCGCACACACACGCACACATACAGAGAGAGAGAGAGAGGGGGGGAGAGGGGCAGAGAGGTGGAAGAGAAAACAGTTGAAAGCAAAAAACAAATAGAAAAGTCGCCACCGCAAAGATCTTAGATATGCGAGGGTTCCCCACACACACACACACAATCATTTATATATATGTATATACATATACATATATATATTTATATATATACATGTGTGTTTGTGTTTTTAGATACGCTGCTCTTGTTACATGCAAAGTTTCAACGTTCGCCGCTCATTTTTCAGCAAGTCAGCACAACGTTGCGTATACGCCATGTAGCGCGCCTAATATACCCCGTGGAAATAGCAGAGGGCGAAGAATTGAGTGTAATGCAGTAGAACTTTTAAATGTAATAGGCAGTTGTTGTTATCGATAACCAGTTTGTGTATATGATAGTAACAGTGCATGTGACAATCGATATTTATCGACATTATTTCTAAGTAGAGAAGCTCTCTTAAATGATACAGTGAATTGATGTTATCGATAATCAATTTGTATATATGTATGATAGTGACAGCTTAAGCTATAATCGATATTTATCGGTATTATTGAAAAGTAGAGTAGAGCTCTTAAATGTTGCAGTGAATCGATGTAATCGATAACCAAATTGTATATATAAAAGTGACCATACAAGCTATAATCTATATGTATCGACATTATTTAAAAGCAGAGTAGTAGCTCTTAAATGTTGCAGTGAATTGTTGTTATCGATAGCCAAGTTGTATATATGATAGTCATAGCACAAACTATAATCTATATTTATCGACATTATTTAAACATTCTTATTTAATCCGCTGTTAGCAAAGACTACAACGATTAAGCTTACAAAACCTCTTTTTGCTTTCAATAATTCCATATTCGATAAGCCTTTAAGGCGTATGGTAGTAACTATTGATTTCTGAATCTACTTATAGAGTATTTAAGCATTGATTAATAATCATAGTCATAATTTAAAATCAATATATTACCCTTTAGTCTTTTGTTTTTGTGTCTTATTAAATACACTTGAGTTTTTCTAAGATTTGGGATCAGACATCAACTTGAGTGCAGTTCAAGCATTATTGCAGGGTATCTATCAGTCGCGCCTTTGCAACCTTGTCTGCCGCAACTTTGTTTTATTTGCGGTCGCTTTGTTTGCTTCTTGTCTCTGTGTGTGTGTGTGTGTATCTGTGTACCTGTGTGTGTGTAAAAATGTTGTTTTTCTTGCTGTGCGCTCCTGCGTTTTTTCTAGCCGAGTAGCCCGCAACGCTTTACGCTTGAGCAATTTGACAGCGCGTAGATTTGGCGTAAAACGTTTTGCCTAATTTGCAAAAGTTGCCCAGGGGCTTCAGCCGCAGTCGCCGTCCCGCTGCGAGGGGAACTCCACTAATTTGCCAGCTAATGTGTGCAGTTGACTTTTTGTCTATCGGCGCCCCATCGTCGTCGTCCTCGTCGTTTGTCTCGTGGTCGAGCAGTTGTGTTATTTAATTGCCAGCGCTTAGTTCGCGGCGTGCGTGGCCTTCGAGCTGGTTGACTTAAGTGCGTGTAATTAGTCGAGCAGGGCGAGCAAAAACCACGCAGCGAGGGCTGCTTGACAAATGCTGGCACTAGCGAGCAAAACTTTTGATTCCGCCAAAAGCCACAGGGCAAGGACACGACGTCGCCAGAGACTCTGATGAATGATGTTGGCCCACAAAGTTGCGACTTGGCTTGCACTTTTGCATTTCAATAACAGAGAGGGGGAGAGAGAGGGAGAGGGAGAGAGAGACTCACACACTGCTTACATTGTCTCTCTGTCTTCGAGTTATCAAAGTTTTTTGATTGAGCCTCAAAGTTGCCCGGGGCGCCACCTATCCCCGCCCCCTGCCACCTGCCCTTGTTGCATGCAACCTGCGTAATTTGTTCGTAATTAGTTGAATGCACATCGCTGAGCATGCCCTTGCCACGCCCACGCCCTCTGCAGCAGGCAGACGACAATTTAATAGTTCGCTCGGCAAATCAGAGCCAAAGACTGGCAGCGGCCAAGCGAAAGCATCTTTCCGCCGGCGCACATCATAAACATAAATATGTGCAACAAAAAGTTTGCCACACACAGAGAGAGAGAGAGGGGGAGAGGGAGGGAGAAAGGGAGAGAGAAGCTAAGAGAGTGAGTGTACAAAACAAAACGGAAATGAATTTCCGCCTAGCAGCCTGCACTCTCCCTCTCACTCTGCCTCTCTCCCCCTCTCTCCCCCTGTCTCTCCACCTCTTCCTCTGCATTTACTTTGTCTGGCATCTATAAACTTAGCTCAGTATTCCCAGCCAGCTCTATCCTGCTCATGTCCTTGTTCCCGTTGCCACACAATGTTGTCACATGCCACGCCCCGCATCCCTCATGCCTCCTCCTGCGACTGCAGCTTGAGAGCTACAAAATTTTTTACAAAACTTTGCCTTTTGCTTAAATTACCAAAACTATGCAGCAGAAAAACAAAAATATATCTGAACAAAGGGGGGAAAAAAATGAAAACTCAAGCTGCAACAACTCAAGCGCAATGCCTGGCCCCTGACCCCTGACCCCTGGCCAGTCTCTGTGCTCCTAAACAGCAATACAAATAATGAAGATCTGAAGGGAAGAAAGTTCAAAGCGTTCGAGTGGGCTTAGCCGACTGACCAATGCTCGTTCGTGATGCAAGAGCAAGCTTAGATTGAACTGAATATGTTTTCAGTTCTCCAATTAAATCATTTATGTAAATTCTAATTGGAATGCAATGTCTAATTGGATAAGGTAAAACTTGCAGCTTTCACTATAGGACATTATGAAAGACTTCATTGAGAAACGAACTCTGATTATGGGATGGAAACATATTGAGTAAAATTAATCGGTCCAATTGGAGCCTGTTAAATTCCAATTAGACAGCATATGGATAACTTCTGCTTTAACTAGAGAACTCAATTGATCTAATGATGACATGCTGAGCTAGACAATTGAATCTAATTAGTATAAACTACGTTCTAATTGGAAACCAATTGCAAACCGAATAAAGACGCTTTTATCGAAATTGAGGCTCCCATTTCTTATGAGGTATCTAAAGCCAATATACCCCCTTTGTACGCTAAGCCCTAGACCCCCGATAGAAATACAAAAATTGTTGCATAAACTCAACTGCAAACAGCCGCAGTCGCTGTCGCTGCCGCAGTCGCTGCCGCTGCCGCTGCTGCCGTCGTCGTCGTCGCGCTGGTCAGAGAAATTATAATGGAATGTTGTCACAAAGTTTTTGCAGCTTTTCATGCCCATGGAATGGAAAACAAAGCGAAACATAAAAGCATAAAAATAGAATGAAAGCAAGTAGAAGTCAAGTAAAATCAACTGCCAAAATAATAATAGTAACTTTTCACATTAAACTTTATCCAATTTTAGCATATTCAAGTTAAGCAAACAGAAAAAAAACAAACGAATCGTGAGCGCCATTTAAAAAGAGTTTACACACACACACACACACACACAGAGAGCTTATACACACACACACACTTGATTATATACAGTTAGTTTTTAGGCTCTGCTTTAAGCTGCTTATTCGCATTTGAGGCGCGAATCGCATTTTCCACTTTCCACACTTTTCAAGTGACGCGTGCACAAAATTGCCTTTGTCCATCTTAATTAATTTACAAAATGCCAACGCCAGTGCGATGAGGTGTGTGGGAGGAGGGGGGCGGAGGGGAGCGGGGGATCACGCTGGCGGTGTGGCAGTTCGTGGTTAACATGTGTCAGCAGCTGTGCACAGTGGAATGCAAGCGAAAAGCGGCTTTGAGCTCTGATAAATGAAGGAATTCAAGTGCTTAAAGTTCTATAAACTGAATAAAGTATATGGCTTATAGGAGGTAGAACTAGGTTAAGGGTGGAACAGTCCATAATGCATATATGCATATATATTGATCAGGAGAACCACTTGAGTTCATCTGGGTAGAGGAAAGTCTCTTAGTCCCCTCGTATAAACCACAAATGCAAGAGACTCTCTGTTTGTTTATGGATTCTGCAGCTATAAGACATGAGAAATATATCTAATTGTATCTTGAAATAAGTAAATTAAAATTACTTAAATAATATAAATGAAACGAAAAATATAAAAATAAATTAATAAATACGTTTAGCATTCGAAGACTGTACTAGTTTATTTATTTTTATTTTTTTTTGATAACTCTTGATATCGATTTAAAGCCGGACTTTGATTTTATGCTTTAAACCTGGCTTCATATGAGCTGTATATATTTATGTATATATGTATACTCCCTTAATCGCTGTTCCTGCTCTTAAATGATCATACAGTAAGGTTTTAACATTAGCTTAGATCAATACTTATACAGTGGAGTTCCGATGAATCGAAGCGTCAAGGTGGCCATTTTTTTCGATTTCATAGAAGTTCAAACTATCGAGAATTATCGACAATGAAACTTTGTCAAGGGTATAGGACTTTTTTTTTATTACGTATTTTTTTAATTAGCATATTATCAAAACTCGACTGTATTGACTCCAGAAAATGTTTAAAAATCTCATAAATTTATTTTATTTTATTTATTATTTTTCATTTTTAGTCGCATCATAATTAGGCCCATCCGAATCTCATTAATTGTTGCACCACTGTGCAGTGGCTCGGCTTTGTTTTTAGAATCCTTGTCACTCTTAATTTTGCTCTGTGGCCTGACAGAAGGTACACGAAAAAAAAAAGGAAAAACTTTGGCCGAAATTTGGCGAAACCAATTTTGGAGAGCAGCTGAGCGCGGGTTTGGGGGTCCAAGTGCTGACAAACGGTCACACTTTTGCCAAGTGTCACAATCTGCTGGACATGTGGTGTGAGTGTGTGACTATATGTGTGTGTGTGTGTGTGTGTGGGTTGACAAAGGTCTCGATGTGGTTGTCGTCGCCTGTTTAATGTGCGACATATTTTCACAGTCAAGGCGGGGGGGAGAGGGTGGGGGAACCTTTTTTTAATGTACGTGGCGACGGGGCTAAGCCTGTTGGCCATCAAAATTAAAACAATGTTGGCCTGGCTAATAAAAACCGAAACATAATTGTTAGCTTGATTTATGCTGCGAGCACGCGGCGTATGCGCAATTTATTTATGCAGACATTTGAAGAGCCAAAGAAATATTCCACAACATTTGCACTGTTGCTTTCTTTACAGTTGTCAACCAGAAGTATACGGTGCAGGTGCACGACGAGTACGTGATGACGGGCAACACGGCGGTGCTGAAATGCCAGGTGAGCGAGCCGTAAGCGCAAGGCCACAAAATGCATTAAGCACGCAAATTAAATTCAACTCGAGCTGATCAAATTTGCTTAACTTGAACAAGTTTACTTACCCACTCTCTCTCTCTCTCTCTCTCTCGCTCTCTCTCGTTCTGGTGTGCAGGTGCCCAGCTACATGTCGGAATTTGTGCTAGTCACCGCCTGGGTGCAGGACACCGGCATGCATCTGTATCCAAACACGGACATCGGCGGCAAGTACACGGTCCTGTCCAACGGCGAATTGTACATAAATAATGCGGGGCCCAATGATGCGTACAAAAGCTACACATGCCGCACTGTAAATAGACTGACAGGTACGTGATAATCACATTTTGCAGCTTAATCGTCCAGTCAGCAATGCTTCACTGCCCACACACTCCTCCCCTCTCCCCCTCTCTCTCACTCTGTCTCTGCCTGCTGTTGGCAAGTTCTGTTGGCACATAATTAAGTTGAATTAATTAGCAGCTCGGGGCCTGGCCTGTGAAACTTATACCCGGCTTACGGCTGGCGCAGGGTATTAAATTTAAAGTCGAATACTTTTTGGGATTTGCCAAAATCAAGTTTTCGTTTACACGAAGGCCAGAAGGCTTGCCTTATGCATAACTGAGTGAAAGTTGGCTCGAGACCAGGGACATTTCCACTTTGTATTTGTTTATATTCGCTCCCTTTGTGTTCTGCTCTGTTCAGATAACAGGTATTAGCTCCAGTGTTGGTTAACAAACTAAAACTGTCTTTGTTCTGCTAGCAGTCAAGGCTTTGTTTGGGCAGCATTAGCATAAACTAACAGTGCATAGTGGGGCATATTTAATGCTACATGTTATATTTAGTATGACAGGTATATATGTATATCTTTTGATAGTATACAATAATATCCAGCAACATTTATCTAGTGAATGGAGTTTTGTAACAGAGAACATGGAAATTTGTGGCTTCTGCTCTTAGTTCTTTGAGCTCCCAGCCAGGCTTTGTTTTCCTATGAATATGCTGCTTCATCTCTAGAAAACCTTCTTCGCTCTCTTTAGTTGTACTGCAGCAATTCGTATAGATTCTGATGAGAGAACAAGTATTTCGACAGGACAAAGAGACTGAAAGAGATAAGAGCAACTATTGCCAGCAATTCCTTCCTCACGTTGAGCTGAGTAATAGCTGAGCTTCTTATCTCGAGTATGTACATCTGCTATGTGCATATCTCTGCTTATATCAGATGTATTTGTTAAGGTATGCTGGGGTATCCTGCCTCTCTCTGGAGCCATTTCACATGTTATTTCCAAGAACATCCTTTTAGTTAATCCATATATAATCACAGTTATATATTTGCTATGCGCGCATCCCCAGTGCAAAGCGAATTGATTAAATATTTATGAAATACCTTTGTGAACAGAGCATTCGAATCGCTCTAAGCAAAGTTTATTATCAAGCAAAAGCAATTTGTTATTATTTATGTATGTGTGCGTGTGTGTATGTGTGTAAATCTGAAGTTTTGTATTTTATAGCCGTTGTCCAAGTCAATTTCAGTTTAGTCGTGCATAATTTATGACGTGTGACATTCAATCGCAAGCAAAGGGCAAAGATGGGAGAGGGAGAGGTAGAGAGAGAGGGAGACAGAGGGAGAGAGAGTATTGCTATAGTCAATTGAACCCATGTAGATCCCTTTCTGACTGTGTTGTCTGGCAAATATCTGGTGCTGCTGCTTATTTGAAGTTTATTGTGTGTGAAAATGCGCTTAAGCTGAATTTCTATTAGCCTTTGTGCGCGTATTACACATCATCAATCAATACGATAAAAGTTTATGCCCGACAATACGCAGAGCCCAAGCCAATCGACGTCCGTTCGCTCCTCACTCTCTCCCACTCTCTCTCTCTCTCTGCCTCTCTCTCTCTCTCTCTGACTTTGCCTTCCTTTTGTATTCGCCTTTGCAAAAAGTTTCCACAAGTTGAGTTTTGGTTTCCTTTTTTCCGCAACTAAGCTTAAACTCTCCCTCTCTCTCTCTCTCTCTCTCTTTCTCTTTATGTGTTCTTAAGATTTCTTAAGCACTCTAATTAAAAATGTATGTAATTAATTTAGAATCCGCTATACAGCAGCTCAAATTGGCTTTAAGTTTTGATTGGAAAACCGCTAAAGCCGCAGCCGCACTTTAGTGTGTGCGTGTGTGTGTGTGTGTGTGTGTGTGTGGGTGTGTATAAGCCAGCGCATATTAATTACTAGTGCATTTCGCACAATCAAGGCTAAACAATGCTCATATAAGTGCAGAACACACATATACGCACACATCGACACACACACACACACACACATGTTGGCTGTCGGACATTAAAAACTGCTTAGAGTGCACTCATTAAAAGTGTAACATGAAACAGTTCTGGCTGCTGGCTGTTGGCCAGCATAGTTGGTCATAACTAATTCATTTAACAAGCACACACACACACATGCACACACACACACATGCACAAACATGCGATGCGCTCAGTTGAAGCGCTGGCTTTACCTGGCGCGCACAAAAGTAGGCAACAGTTTTTGTTTGGCCTAGGCGTGGACTGCGGGCTGTGCGCGAAGGGCGGTGGGCGGTGGGCGTGTCTGTCTGTGCGCTGGCAGCGCATAATTACAATTTAAACCAAAAATCCATTTATTTTGCACAATAACGGGCACAACAATGGCGGCTAACAATAATACAACTGCTAATGCACAATGGAGCAATGGAGCTGAAGAGGAAGAGGAAGAGGAGCGGACGAACGGGCGGGTGAGAGCGGATGAAGAGCCGAAGGGTTATACCTGATGATGATGATGATGATGTTCGAGCGAAATTATAAATTAAATTGCCAAGTTGTACATCGAGTGGGAGAGAACTAGAGAGAGAGAGAGAGAGCACAATAGCCATAGATATAAGTATAAAGAGAGATAGATAGAGAGCTAGACCATTCGAAACACATTTCGCTTGGCCAAATGGCCCACTGAACGAGCTGCTGGATTAGATGTCATTTTGGACTTGGCACACAAATGGAAACGAATGGGACAACATGATATAGAGCAGCAGCCATTGAAGGCCGCGAAGGTCAAAGAGCGTGGGCTATAAAAGGAAAATAAATAAAAAACAACAACAAGTCAACATAAAATAAAGCCAATATAAATGCATAGCAGAAGAGTTCAATGCCAAATACTCAGGCATGTTGAGCGTGAGCAGAGGATATATATCGTATGCTGGCAAATGATATGAAAAGGATAAGATGTACAGGTAGAGCTCCTCTTTTAAATCTCTTTAAACTCTATAAGCTGTTGTCATCTATATGTTGTCATCTATATATATAGGTAAGGGTAGTCTCCAGAGAGAGGGTATTATAGTGAGAGTAAGCAAAGGATATATATCGTAAGCGATATGAAAAGTATAAGATGTATAGGTGAAGCTCCTCTTTTAAATCTCTTTAAACTCTATAACAGTTTCTCATCTATATGAGAAAAATGGTAGGCAAGAGTCGCCGCAGCGAACGCCTCTCTGGCAGCGTAGCCCCCAGGGAGAGGGTATTATAATGCGCATGCATAATAAAGCAGTTGAGGTGTTTCCTGCTGCTGTCGACGCGCAGCTTCCGGCCTTGCAGCTGACCTCCTGTGGCGCAGGCCATCAACTTGATTGCTTTCATTTACTTTTAATTAATTAAAAACACACATTTGATACACACACGCACACACACACGCACACACATACACACGTGTATTTATATGTGCGTCCATCAATTTCCCAAGCAGCTGCCAGTTGTGTAAATTGTTTCGTGTGCTTAGGCTCTCACCTGTCGCTTTCTTGTTGCTCTTTGCAGGTGAAATACAAATTTCAACATATCCCGGCCGCATTATCGTAACCGAGCCCAAGGGCATGGTACAGCCGCGCATTAACGTCGAGAAGCATTCGATGCGGCATGTCGTCCTTAATGGCCAAACAACGTTGCCCTGCATTGCTCAAGGACATCCAGTGCCGACCTATCGGTGAGTACAGCCCACACACACACGCACACAGCCCTTTTTTGGTAGACTGCTGGGGGCAGCGCAGCTCGCGGTTCGCGCATTTTATGACAATGTGAAATATTTAGCTCGATAAAAAAAATGTGACGAAACAATAAAAAATTGAGTTGTAAAAATGTTGAGCAAATTTGAAAGCTCACACGAAATGCCGGTGTGTATGTATGTGTGTGTGTGTGTGTGTGTGTGTGTGTGTGCAATGTTATAGATAGTTAAGACAAGCAGCAGATATTTATTGACATGTCATGTCACAGATTGCTAGGCTTGGGAAATGCTTCGTATATATTGCATATGGACTGTAAAATGTAGTTTGGAAATTGTTAAGGGCTTTGCATTTTCATACAAAAGAAAAAAATGATGTAGATAGCTTTCAATATGTCTTGGTGGGGCCTATAAAAGAAATGTGCTAATAAAAGTGAGCCCAGATAGATGAATTTAGATATGGGAAGATACTAAAGCGATATATATTTACATGTGGAATATTTATGTTTTCCATATTCAGCGTAGGTAAAGAGTAAGTCATGTTTTAGATATATGTATATATGTTTTATATACATGTATGTGTATATATACTGCTGCCATAATTGAAATGGCACCAATTGCATATTTTCGACTTTCTGAGAATTTTTTTAAATATATAAAATCTTTAGATATTTTTTTGCAAATTTTTATTTGTTGGAATAATTCATTGTTTTCTCCTTTTATAAAAAAAATAAGTAGATCAATATATTGATAAATAAATATAGAAGAACTTCTTAGACTTTGCATAAGTAAGTGCTGCTTTTTTATTTTTCGCAGCTGTATATATGTATATATTTAATTTCAAATAAAGTTCAATCTATTCTGTAAATGAAATCGAGTTATAGGAGCTCAACTGAATAGCTTAAAAACTCCCTTTCCATTTACACAAAATGATAGATATGATGATGATATGATTTATATAGTTGAAACTCTCAATTTGCATAAATATTATATTTTTATTGATTACACTAAATAAATACAATATTATTTTTATTACATTTTATATTAATTTTATATTAAATACGCTTATATATATTTATTTATATTCTATTAGCTCTAAGCCGAAGGCCTTAGTCTTAGTCTCTTATAAATAAATAAATATTTGATTAGGTTATATTATTTTAAATAAGCTTATATTTAATCTCACCTATTGTCAGCCCTCACAGCGCTAGCTCAAACACAAATATACATATTCTTCGTCTGGCAATCTCTTTATTGAAAATGTAGTTGCTTATAAAACGGTTCAAGTCTGCTGCCAGCTCCATTCACCTGCTCCTGCCTGCTGCCAGCCTCAGCTGCTGGCACCTGTCTCGCTTGACTTTTGACACTATGCATCAAATATTGTTTATTGGGGCACTTGAATGTCTTGGCACAAAAACACGGCTCAAGCAGCGCTCGTTTATCTTCCAAGACGACAGGAGACTCCTGGACTCCTAGACTCCTTGACTCCAGGACTCCTCGACTCCTGGACTGTCGCGTTATGTAGATTTCCCTGGGGCCAATTCAAAGTTTTTCAACATTTGATGTGTGCTCGCTTTTATTCTCGTGTCAAGCGCAAATCAATCAAATGAGCCGCGTTTATGGGCCGAAATGGCAAATTGCTTGCTGAACGGCCGCCGCTCAAGCTGAAGAGCAGCGCTCGTCAAAGGTAATCGCCGAGCCGCACACAGGATACACACAGGACACACACAAGCGCAGAGCAGGAAAGGACAGGACAGCACTTGCCACTCGACCACTTGGCTCATCATGCTCGTCAGCGTCAGCGTCGTGGCAGCGTGCTGCTGCCTGCTAAAACATGCATTGCTTTTTACGGCTGGCCGCAAGGATGCAATGTAGCAGGATAATGGGTCATTGTAGCTGCGCTTGTCCTTCGTGCAGCTGCATGAATAAAGCATGGCGACAAGCAACGCTACGCTATGCGCTGCTGCTGCTGCTGCCCCTGCTGCTGCTGCCTCTGCTGCTGCTGCTGCTGCTGCCTCTGTTGCTGCTGCTGCTGCCACTACCACTGCTGCCTCTGCTACTGCCTCTGCTGCTGCCCCTGCTGCTGCTGCCTCTGTTGCTGCTGCTGCTGCTGCTGCTGCTCCCTTTGCCTCTGCTGCTGCTGCCGCTGCTCCCTCTTCTCCTGCTGCTGCCACTGCTGCTGCTGCTCTCTCTGCCTCTGCTGCTGCTGTTGCACTCCGGAACTGCTGCATAGCCCAGCTATGGGTAGTTGGACTCTGACATTCGACTTGGCGGGCATAGAAGAAAGATATATATATATGTACATATACATCTATGTATATATACTCTTACTACTGACTATAAATGACATGAATGGAGAACTTGACAGGAGCTGAGATCATATTGACAATTCACTCAACTACAAAGGCCGCTCCTTTGGATTGATTGGTAACGCAGTCAAAGACCTTAACTATATGAATATGCTGTATATTTACTATTGTATATTAATATGTACATATTCATATGGTATAGGAAACTCCCTACAAATGATTTTAGGCTATTCCTTCAGCTCTTCATATACAGATATTTCAGAGCGTATTCACTAACCCGATGAAACATGTTTCTTTTCATTCCCATCAGCAACGCTGATGTCTGTGACTTGCTGCAGATAAACTGAGAGTGTCAGGAAGAGTACATATCAGGAGATGAGCACGCCTTATCATAGAGAATATGAGTCAGTATACTGTTCAGAGGCAGTATGTGTATAGTTCAGTATACTTCTCAAGTGAAGAATGAGCACAGGAGTATGTCCCTGTAGGCGCTCCTGACACAGACCCAATAGAATACCCTCTGCTGTGCATTATGTCAGCTAGTCTTGGTAGAGTGCGCAGCCTAGAGACACAAAACAGCCTAGAGATACAGTCAGGAACAGTTTCTTCTAAGAAACAACAACTAAAGCGGAAGGAAAAGTTAAGCGAGCTGAGATCTCTCAGCTTTAAGTGGAAATTTAATGATGACTCAGACCTAGATCCATTTCAATAGCTCTGCCTGCAGTATCTAACGAGATCTATAGCTCTATTGACATTATATTCCTATATATATCTACTCTTACTCCTTTGGCTTTTAGAGAGTGAAAAGTGAAACTTGAATACTTCGAATGCTTTCAACTCAAAGTGTATCACGTCTTCGGCATGTCAAGGGATGCCTTTGCGGTTGCTTGCTTTGTTTGTTATTTGATGTCGCCCCGCGGAGCAACGACCAAGACCAAGACGACAACAACATCAAGCGGCAACAACAACCATTTTGGCAGCCAACGAGGCGACAACAGCGTCGACTTTTGTTTTGTGCTCTGCGGTTGCTGTTGCTGTTGTTGCTGTTGCTGATGCTGCTGCTGCTGTTGTTTTGCTGCAACATCCGTATCCTGGGTGTCCCGGTGCTTGACGCTGCTCATAAATGTTAAAACATTTGGCATGTGGCAAGCTGCCGTTGCGGTTCGCGTCCTCAACTATTGCCACATAGAAATGCAGAATATGATTTTATATTGCGATGATTTCTCGCCTCTGCTGACGTACTTGAGCCATGATTTTTAATTAAGCGAGCAGGAGGCAGGCATATGCAGCCGGCAACGTGCCGCGCCGCCACTTGCAACATGCCACAAGATGCGCTGCGCACTCGAGTGCAATTAAAGCCAAATTAAAATCAATAATTTGATTAAAAATGCAACAGCATTTGCATGGCTGCAACGGGGGCAGGAATCGGGCAGCGGGCAGCAGGCAGCACGAGTCATGTGGCATGCGTCCTTGCAACATCAAGCAGATTATGGCACGCGCGTTGCACTGTTGATTCTCGCAATTGATATTAAAATGAAATATAAACAAGCAACAACGTGGCAGCCGGGCGTCACCGACTGCAGAATACTCATTCAGCGCCCAATTGGGGGCGTGATAAGTCGGCAAATGACTTGTCACGCTCCCATTGGCATACATACATTGAATGCTCTCAGCAATTTATTCGCCAAGTCTAGAGCCTCCAGCTCATTGTAGAAAATGCAATTTTTCCCGCTTTGCCACGCCCAAAAAATGTGCATGTTTTGCCTATCAGCCACGCCTTTTTCTTTTATCTCTACAACGATCAGCTGTTGCTGCCGCTGAGAGCTAAAATTTAACGAAAATTTTGGTTTAGTAACAGGCGAACAGAAATCAGAAGTAGGCTCCCTACTTCTCTCAAACGATCAAATTCAAAGTTAAAAGTGCACTGTAACGCCCTGCTCTTTGAGAGTGTTGATTATGTTATACAACAGTGAGCGAGCAGTAGTACACTGTTAACTAGCATTTTGCACCCTTCTACTCATTTCTGTTCGCCTGGTACTTCCAGAATTTCTACAGCTATTTTGCTGAAGTACCAGGCGCACAGAAACGACAAGTAGGGTGCAAAATGTTCCTTAACAGAACCTTAACAGTGCAGGATTACCATGCTGTTATTTAACAGAGTATAATAATTAATATTCAAAAATCAACGGCTAAAAAATGTGCCCCAAATAAAAATTATTGTTGCATAAATTAGGGAGACTCTTACTGTGGCGGCTGGCATCAAAATTTGAGCGGTTAATTTAAAAAGCAACAGGCAAACAGAAATGAGTAGCAGAATGAGGAGCTAAAATGTTATTTAACATTATTATGTTAAATAACATTTTAGCTCCTCATTCTGCTACTCATTTCTGTTTGCCTGTTGCTTTTTAAATTAACCGCTCAAATTTTGATGCCAGCCGCCACAGTAAGAGTCTCCCTAATTTATGCAACAATAATTTTTATTTGGGGCACATTTTTTAGCCGTTGATTTTTGAATATTAATTCCCAGTAAGGAAACCCTTTTAAATAAAAAAAACAGTTTGTATATTTTTAGATTAAAATTCTTTATTGATTTTCAAATTAAAACAGTTTTTGCTGATCTAAATCTACATTTATTTATATATTATATTAATCATTTATTATGTTAATCATTTACATTTATTTATACACATGTGTATACATATCTCTTAAATTATATGATGCTAGGGCGACTTAATACTATCTTAAGTTAATATTTAATACTATCCCATCGAGGATGCTGTTGTCCCACACACTTAGCTGAGGAGGCGCTTTAATCTGAAAACATAAGAGATATTTTAGAATATAATGTACGACTTGGTATAGATAACACTTACCTCTGACGACGCATGATGAATAGTGAAGCTTGAATTTACTCTGCTTTTAGCTTAAAGCGAAAGAAAACTCTCCTGAAAAATATAAAATAAAAATAAATATTGTTAATAATAAATCTATATTCATTTAAGCGAGCATTAAGCTCGTAAGAAAAGACAGTTGCTCAAAACCAATATACTCATTTCACTTTCGTGAATGCGTATTTTTATACTCACATAAATAAATTGCAAAAATATGAATTCGAATTGATGCTGCCACAGCCACGTGCAACGAAGAGGAAATGCTCTTTAATTGCGAAACGCGGCAAGGCCCTGGGACTTCCCTCGCAGCTGCAGCAATTGCAGATGCGTAAATCTGTAAATGAAAACATGCAAATGAAGATCAATATCAATGCTGTGTAAAAAGGAAATTAAAGCTATTCATATATAAATACATACATATAAATATAAATGGATATATTGGCTCTTGCCAAGCGCAGCATTGCTAGATGTGGAATGTGGATCATAGAATTTCTGTATAATTATTGGAATAAAAGTATTCGTATCAGAGGCTGGCATGATCTAGTGCGCTGACCAAGGGAGGTCGGAAAACTTTCAGCGAAATCTCAGCATGCAAGTTGGCTTTTTAACAAATTTTTATTATTTTCATTTCTCTTTTAAAATGTTTTCAAGCTGAGAAAATGCAACTTTAACTTCTCAGAAAACCTTTCGAGACACTTCAGCAAACTTTGTTTTCCTTTTCGACTTACCTTGTCAGGTGGTACAGGTGCACAAAAGTTGTAGAAAAGCAGTCGATGGAGCTAATTAGCGAATATTTAATAACATTTTTTTACAATTGCGCAATAAACAACTGAAAACAATTTTGGGCATGAAATGTTTGAGAGAAATTTGAAATTAAGTCAAAGAGAGGAAATATAATTAGCTTAGCTAATAAAAGCTGGCATTCCAAATAAAAATATAGCTGCCATATGCAGCTTTCTCTATCGCCCTATCTGACTCCTATACTGCCTCTATCTCTCAAGCCCCACAATCCACTCAGACTGCAACTCCTGCATGCCCCTATCGCACTACTCTCTGCCTCTACCGTTGCCTTTACTTCCATCTCTATCTCTGACTCTCAGCCCCTACCATCGCCTCTACCTCCATCTCTGCCTCTACCACTGCCTTCTCCAAACTTACCCTCTCCCCTTTAATCCCTCCCCCTCTTGCACATTGAAGTGCGGTAATCATTTTGCAATGCAATTGAACATTATTGAACGCATTTTCGAGCTGCATTTTCATTTTATTTTTTTTTTTTGCGCTCAACAAGCGGCAATCATGGGGGTCGCAGTGGCATACAGAAGTCGTTTATTGTTAATGCAATCGACATATTAACCCTGATGAAGACAGCAGAAACAACGCACAATGAACGAATATTTAAGTTTAATCAAATAAAGAAAGAGCTGTAATTGTTAAGCTTTTGTTTGGCTCGTTAGCTTAATGCTCTCCCGCTCTCCCTCTCTCTCTCTCTCTCTCTCTCTCTCTCTCACTATCTACCTCTCTCGCTTTTCAGCTGGTTCAAGGAGGAGAACGAACAGCTGCTGCCGCTGCAGTTGAGCGAACGCATCACGATTGTATCCGCGGGTCTGCTCAAAATAACCAAGGTATGTCCAGCTCCCTCTCCCCTACTCTCTCTTTCTCCCTCCCTCTTTGGTTGTAAATGAAAAGCAAATATTGTGATTGCCATTGATTTATGGCATTGCCATTGCAGGCGCGTCTCGAGGACAGCGGCAAATATCTGTGCTGGGTCAATAACACAGCTGGCGAGGAGACCATCCAGGTGTCTCTCACTGTGACAGGTATGTAGCTGCGTGTGTGTGTGTGTGTGTGTGTATCAGCCTATACCCTATATATGTATGTATATATCATAGCTCCCTTGACCGCACACCTGCAGCCGCAGGTGCAGACCGTGGACGTCGACAAGGATGCACAATTCCAATGCATTGTCTCTGGCCATCCGGTGCACGATGTCAACTGGCTGCACGATGGCAAGCCAATATTGCGCGACAATCGCGTCGAGGTGAGTGCCGCAGCACAGCCCAGCCATAACCATCTGCCTCTTCCACTATACATACATACATATATCGCATCTCTGCAGATATTAACGGACCCAGCGCGTCTGATCATTAAGAAGGTGCAAAAGGACGATCCGGGCATGTATCAGTGCTTCGTCTCCAACGAGTGGGAGCAAATCCAATCGACAGCTGAGCTCCAATTGGGCGGTAAGCCGGGGCGTATTAGTAATATCATTGTCTATTTAACCATAGCTCCAATTTCGGTGTGTCATAAATTAATGCTCTGATGACCATTAATGGGCACACACACACGCTCACACACACACACACTCACATACACACTCACACAGTCACACAGCAAATCAAAAGCGAAATTTCCGTCGCTTGATGACCGCAAAAACCGCACAAATAAATGTTTGTCATAATTGCATTTCATTAATTTCTAATTTAGCAAATTGCTGGCACTTTGCAACAACAATAGCAACAACAATGAAAAGCAACAACAACGACGCTAGAGCCAGCCATAAAACGCAGCCTGACAACTTAATTTTATTACCAGCACTAATATTCTAGCCACCAGTGTTGCGACATTCTTCTCGGCGATAACGTTACACAAAGGGGCATGTGAATGGGAATGTGAAGAGTGATTGAGGGCGATAAGAGTTGGGTGTACAGATGGAGTTGGGGTACCAAAAGGAACAGTAGTGATATCAGCCGTGACTTGTTCACAAAAGTCACATTTTTTATGTAAACAACGACTGTTGGGGGGTAGTATCAAGTGAAGAGTCACAGTTGAGCCGTGAATAGACGCAGTTGGAGTACTAAAAAGAACTGTAGTGCTATTAGCCGTGACTTGTTCACAAAAGTCACAGTTTTTATGTAAACAGCGACTGTTGGTGGGTAGTATCAAGTGAAGAGTCACAGTTAAGCCGTGAAATATTGCGAGTCACACATCTCTTTTGCCCTTAGCAGACTTTATTGAAGTCACAGTTCACAGCGTGTCACTGTTTTTTGTAAGTCACAGTTCGCACTGTGAATATGATGAAGAGGAAGACAGCATAATGGGAATATACATTCGTATATGAAGAGACAGCTGTGCTATGATTTATTACAGCTGTGATATTACTCGAGCTTTTTTAGAAAAAGTCACAGTTCTCATCAAAACAGTGACTGTGATAGTTAATGTTAAATGAACACTTGCTTGTCAGCTACTTCTTTTACCAGTAGCATTATTAACTAAAGTCACAGGCACAGTTTGTCATATGCTCCAGTCACAGTGACAGCTAAAAGTGTGCGCATCTCTATCATTCGACGCTCGCTTCGCTGCGCCTAGAGCCCAGCACACTCTGAGATTCAGCTGCCTAGGGACCAAATACATACTCACACACTCACACACATAAACTCGCACACTAACACACTGACACACACACACACAGACACTCAGCTAGACAGAGCTCAGAGCTAGCTCACATTCGCGCTTTGTCACTTTCGGCGGCTTTGGCAACATTTCTGATTTGCTTTTAGGCACAAGCGGAAATTGATTTCGATATATTATTGGCATGCTTACACACGCACACACACACACACACACATACACATAGCGCTGTGGTGTTAAAAGCTGCTGCTGCCCCACCACAAAATGGCGCTAGCTTCCAGCGCAGAGCCATTAAGCAGCCGGATATGGCAGCAATTGTGTCAACCGACGCTACAAGTGTGTGCGGGTGTCTGTGTGTGTGTGTGTGTGTGTGTGTGTGGTGGCTGACTGCAAATAAATATGGCAGCTTATAACTGGCAATGTCAGCGCTAACGCCCGAAATATTCTCGCAACGTCGCCGTCGCCGTCGTCGTCGTCGTCGTCTTTTGGAGCGGAAATTGATACAATTTTCATCAGCTGGATAACATTTGCTCGCTTGTCAAATGCATTTTCCGCCGCGCTCTTAGGTCAAAGCGCACAGAAGAACGTTGCGAAAAGCATTTTTACAAATCTGATTTTGATTGCTAGCAAATATGCAGCAGCAAAGAAATAGAAATGGAAAAGGAATAGATGTATGGGCGATGGTAGATGGAAGATGGTAGATGACAACGGCATGGATGCTCTTGAAATCAGCTAGCGGAAAATCTGAAAATATATACATATAGCTGTAAGAAACATATATAAATGCAATTGACAGATGAAGCTCGCAGTGAGCAGCTCAGGCTAAGCCAGTTGGTTATTTCTTTAAAGTAAATACATATAGAGTGATGTTATTTGGGAGAGCTATATGTGAGGCATGGCTTAAGATATTGAGAAGATCTAACAATGGAAATATCTAAAGAGAGTTGCCCTCTCATCATAGGTTATTTTGGAGTTGTCTATAGGAGAATGTAAAAATTATTGAAAAAATGCAAAAATATTTAGGATTTGCTTCTTAATGTACATAGACTATTATTTTCTTTATGACCTCAGTACTTAGGGCGTTCGTTAGGCATGTTTTCAGTATTCAAAGAGTTGGCACAAGATTTTTGTTGTTAACTCAATATTCACACTGAGATAAGAGCAGGAACAAGAAAATATAGCCATAGACCATAGCCATATAGACCCAGAAAACTATATTCTACCTTAAGCAACTCAAGCGATTATCAGCAGAGAGCCTTTGGCTGCCAGCACAACATTTAACTATATATATAATATATGGAAAATGGCTTAGATGATAACTAAAATCAACAACTTGACCTATCTTAACTCACTTTTACCCTCTAACATCTTCTTTTACTGTAGCTCTCATTTGATTAGCCCTTTATACATATAACAGCTGCTAATATTTTAAAAACAAGCCACTCGTGCTTTAAGTTAATATCTCACTCGAACATGCTCTACCAATAGATACGCAAACCATTCAGGCATTTGCCAATAAGTTACTCTCTAATGCACACACACACACTATCACACTCTCACACACACAGCTGTGCACACCTGAGCAGACGCTAATTAATGGAGTACTCTTAAAGCAGCTATGCGCATAGCCCCGCATGTACGCATATAAGGCTTAAGCTGAGCCCAACTAAAAAGCACACACAGATACACGCGAATACACGCCCACACACACACACACACACACCCACAGCCACATTCAGCCCCACACATGCGAGCCCCTGCCTTATACGCCGTACGCACTAAACCGAATCTCAATCTTTATCTCTGACAATTTTAGATGCTTCGCCGGAACTGCTTTATTGGTTCTCGGAGCAAACACTGCAGCCGGGTCCGACGGTATCATTGAAATGCGTTGCCACCGGAAATCCACTGCCGCAATTTACATGGTCTTTGGACGGATTTCCGGTAAGTATGGCCCACACAGTTTGGCTTTCTTCAAAGGGTGAGGGTGGGAGTGGGAGTGGGAGTGGGAGTGAGGGCGAGTGGATGAGAGGGTTCCATCTAAAGTTCACACACGTGCTGAGCACACTTACTTAGCAGCATCAGCCGTAGTCGCAGTCGCAGCAGCAGCGGAAATGCAGGCAGCGTTTCCGTTTCCGCAGCTATCGTCACATGCACGTTGATGAAGATGGAGTTGCTTATGCCACACACACACACAGGCATACACACACACACACACACTCGCACACCCATACCAGAATATGCATAAATGTTTACGAAAAGCGGTGCAGCCTCTCTCCTGCTCCTGCTCCTGCTCCTCATCCACCTCCTGCTCCCCCTCTACCACCTCCTCTGCTTCTTCTTCTTCTTCTTCTGCTTGCACATTTTAGTAAAGCTCTACCCTAAAAATTTAGCTTGGTCATGCTTGGCATGCCCCGTGGCTTTTGCTATGCTTTGCTTTGCTTTGCCCACACTTGATTTTCCCTTTATTTTTCTTTCGTTTCTCCTTTCGCTACGCTGCGCTGCGCCGAGCTCTGTAGTTCTTGGCATGTGCCATGGCGCATTTTCAAGGATTTGTTTCGTTTATTTGCATAAATTTCCATTTTCTTGCGCTACAGCTACAGCCACAGTGAGCCCTGCCCACACAGCCCCCGCCATGCACTAGCCGCCTCTCTTTCTCTCCCACTCTTTCTCTCTCTTTCGCTTGCTCCACACTTAAGCGCAGTGTAAATTTTATGCAATTTCAATCAATTCGATTTACATGAATTTTTTATAGAGTATCTTCAGAGCTTTTCCCTAGTTTCGCCTTCGCACTTTGCCCGTCGACTATATATATATATATTTTATCTAATTGCCCTTTTCTCTCAACCAAATATACGACATTTTCCTTCTCTCTATCCGACACGCCAGATACCAGACAGCTCTCGCTTTTTAGTGGGTCAATATGTTACCATCCACGACGATGTCATCAGCCATGTGAATATTTCAAACGTCAAGGAGGAGGACGGCGGCGAGTATACCTGCACGGCGCAGAATGCGATTGGCAAGTGAGTGGCTCTAGTTCCATAAATAAAATGCACACAAACACACACACACACACACACACACACAAGCACACACACATATGTGCTTTCAGCAATCTGTGCTTTCTGATAGGAGTATAAAAAAACATTTCTCTGCTAAATCATAAATTTAATTGTTGCATACCATAGTAAAAACTAGAAATAAAAGATAGCTGATGGCTATGTGAACGACTGCTAGATGCCCTGTAAAAAGGATTTTTTGAATGAAAACTTAGTTCACTGCAAGAGAATCGCATAGAGAGGTTTTACTGGAAGATGAGTTAACCTAGAATCGAAATTCAATGAAAATATGATGATGGTCATATACATATATATATATCTATTTAGGAATATTCTTAACTATAAATGAGAATCGCATAGAGAGGTCAGAGATTTGAAGATACTCGCCTATTAATATCCTTTGCCCACATATGCCCTACCCACAGAGTTCATATCTGACATATGCCACGCAGTCTGACTCTAGCGTAGGTATATGGGGTATACGAACAATGGAATCGCATTGTTTGCAGGCAGAGGCGACATAAAATTCAAACAATTTGCCGAGTCAGGCTCTTTAGCTGCAGCAACTGTATAGCTGTATAGCTGTACAGCTGTACACCAACATACACACACACAAACTGTTTGTTTGTATTTTTTTTTTTTGCTCTGCTTTGTTTTGGCTCTGCTCTTAAATGTTAGTTATGACTCGTGCATGTTTTTTATATCGCCGCAGGGTCTCGCATAGCGCCAAAGTGAACATCTATGGGCTGCCTTATATACGTGAAATGCCAAAAATAACGGGAATCTCTGGCTCTGATTTGATTGTTAAATGTCCTGTGGCTGGTTATCCCATCGATAAAATACACTGGGAGCGCGGTAAGTAATACAAATATATATATACATTTATTTATTTTCATACCCTCCCCATTGCCATTCCCCTTCCTCCTTCCCCTCTGCCCGTTTCATATGTATATTATCGAGCTGCTTGCTGTCTCGCTCGACAGCCATAAAATCCAATACTTTAATACCATTTTTGGCCAATATTATACACACACATGCATACATATGCATGTATATATATCTCTATATATCTGCGTTCGCTTTTTTCATTCGCCTTTGTTTGCATTGCCTCACGGCCCGTGTTTGGTATTAAAAGTTTCCATGTTTGTTATTGCGCATATCAATGAATATTATTATTAAAACTACGTTTTGAGCCACGCTGAAAAAATGCTGCAATTATTTTCGTGCATGCTGCCGGATATACATATACACATACATGCATATATGTGTGTATGTATGTAGCTTTCATAACTTTCGCGTTTCACATAGTTTTAGTTAGTAATTGTGTCCTGCAGCCAATTTGGCCTCGCATAGTTCATGTATTTTCGAGAGCTTCAGCTGAGGCATTCGATTGAGAATGTTTCCCACTGGAATATGACGAGAATATAACGAGCACCGTTCACGTATGGAATATTCTTTCACATCGAGTCGACTCTAAGAACTGAACTCCATAGTTGAATATCCAAACTCAGCCTGGGTAGATTTTCATATGGAATCCGCAATCCGAATTTCATTTCCCGCTCGATTTTCTTTCATTTTTGGTTAAAAAAATTCATTGATATGCAAATAAATTATAAAAGACTATAAATAGTCCGCAATTAATTGCCGGATGTATTCGGCTCTCTCTCTCTCTCTCTCTCTCTCTCTTTCTCCCTTTCTCACTCTATTTGCATGCAAAGATGGGCAAACGCTGCCCATAAATCGACGACAGCGCGCCTATAACAATGGCACCTTAATTATCGAGCAGCTGCAGCGGCTGGAGGATGCGGGCACGTACACGTGCATGGCCCAAAACAAGCAGAAGCAGACATCCAGGCGCAATGTGGAGATTCAAGTGTTGGGTGAGTACGCGGCGTATGCGTAATATACAGCTCCTGCTCTTTTTTTTGGTTCAGCTGCTGCTGTTCCAATATTCAAATTAGAAAGTTGCTGCAACAACAACAACAACAACAACAACAACAGCAACAGCAGCAGCAGCAGCAGCAGCAACTACAATGAAACTATTCCAATTAGACTGGCAACAAAACTATGCAGCGACAGCCGCAGCAACTATTTCCAGCTGCCAGCACTTTTTAATGCACATGCACGGCCCAGCAGCGTGGGGGACGTGCCACAATGAAGTCATTGACTCCAGTGTCTATGCCACTGCCTCAACTCAACTCGGCTAGGCTCGCCTCGCCTCGTTCCGCCTCGCCTCGACTATTTCTGGCTCTGTCGCTATCTGCGCATCTCTCGCTCCTCTTCATAATTTACTGTGTGCAGCTGTTATCAGTGCGGCAGCTGTTGCTAAGCCGCATTGATGTGCCTGCCACGCCCACCAACCACACAGACCGACAGCCAGCCAGCCAGCCAGCCAGCACGTTTCCCGGCTTGATAATCAGCATGGCTTTTGTGCTTAAGCCAACTTGGCAATTGTTATGAGCTAGGTTTTGTTGTTGTTGTTGTTGTTGTTGTTTTCGATGCTCGCTTAATGATATGCTCAATGTCTGTTTATGCCACACACACACATACACACACACACACACGCATACATTGCCATTTTTACAGTGCCACCGAAAATCATGCCCATTCAGGCCATGACGAATATGTTGCGCGAGGGCATGCGGGCCGCCATATCCTGCCAGATCCTGGAGGGCGACCTGCCGGTCAGCTTTCGCTGGGAGCGCAATGGCAAGCCGCTCATAGGCACCGGGTAAGCGTTAACAAGGCCTACATACACTCGCAGAAACTGGAGGCATGTGAAATTCAAGTTGAAATCAATGTGAAAAGGGAACAGCGAGAATTTTCCATTATATCAAAAAGCAAACAAGACTTGCTTTAGTCTGGAATTATCTGGAATACTCCCTTGCCTTCTAGCTATGTGGTATCAGAGTCACTATGGAGAAAATGTTATTCTCAATCCCTTTGATAATCCTCTATCTCCTCCTCTTTAAGACTGGGCTTAAACATTTTCCCACATGCATTGATTAACCGCTTGACCTCCCGATTTCTCCGAGTGTAGCGCGTGTCGCAGGGCCTTTACTGAACTCACATTTCATAACATGCAACGACTTGCAGCAATGAGGTGTTCCGGCGCCTGGACGAGTACTCGGCCAGCTTGGTCATCGAGCACATCAGCTCGGATCACTCGGGCAACTACACGTGCATCGCCAGCAACGTGGCGGGCACGGAGAGATTTACGGTGCCGCTGACGGTGAATGTACCGCCCAAGTGGATACTGGAGCCGAAGGACTCGAGCGCACAGTCCGGCACAGATGTGCTCGTGCACTGTCAGTCCGCCGGCTATCCGAAGCCGACGATAACGTGGAAGAAGGCGATTGGGCCGACGCCCGGGGAGTACAAGGACTTCCTCTACGAGCCCAGCGTGCAGCTCTTTCCCAATGGCACCATCTACTTCAAGAAGATCAGCAAGGAGTCGCAGGGGCACTTCCTCTGCGAGGCCAAGAACAACATTGGCTCCGGTGTCAGCAAAGTGATTTTCCTCAAAGTCAATGGTGCGTATGCGCAATATGCACAGCTTCATCCACAGCTATTAATGACGCTCACTACGCCCTCCCTTAGTGCCCGCCCACTTTCCAACGAAAACGAAACAAATCTCGGTAGCCAAGGGCAAGCAGGTGCATGTGCAGTGCAATGTGCAGGGCGACAATCCAATTGACTTCAAATGGAAAATCCAGGCAACGCAACAATATCTTGACGAGTCGCTCGATTCACGGTAAGTCTATCTGTCTGCCGCCGTCTCCCTCTCTCTCTTTCTCTGCAATCTTCCCAATCTGCATCTGTGTCTCGCCTGTGGCTTGTCTGCCTGCGCTTACACTGCAGGGCATTTCAATAGGCACAGCTCGATATTTGTTTTCTGTGGGGATTTAAGCAAGCAGCAGAGGCTGTAATGTAAATAGGATTATATATACATACACATATCGTTACCTTCCTTTAAAAAATATATATTGTATTTTATATATAGTATATATAATTTCATATTTAAATTTTAGTTTTATTATTATTATTATTTTTAATAGTCATTTTTAATATTCATCTAAAAATTGTAAAATAATATTTTTTTTATTTTATTTGTCAATCAAAAAAATGAGTATGTTCCTTTTCTTATGTTAGTAAAAAATTATAGTTTTTAATTTGCATTTTATTTATGTATTTTTAATTTAATTTTTAATATATATATTTTATTTAAAAAAAATAAAAAAAAACTGTTTTATTTATTTATTGCATTTTTAATATATTTAATTAAGCAAAATTAATATTTTTTATTTGCATTTCATTTATTTTATTTGCATTTTTTATTGAATATTAAATTAAATTTAATTTAATTTAATTTTTAAAAATTAATTAAATTTTGTTTTCATTTTTGTTATTATTTATATATTCAAAGCCCTAAAATGTTTCTTGTTTATTTTATCATTATTTGTTATCTATTAATAAACTCTGCTTTTGCTAGTTTCTAAACAAATTTGCTTAATATTTTGCTTATATTTTTTTTTAATATTTATATATTTAAAATTTTAATTGGGGTAAATTAATATTTATTTATTTGCATTTCATTTGTTTATTTTTTAATTCAATATTTAATATTTATTTTAAAATTTGTTTTATTTATTTATAGCATTATTTATATATCTAAAGTCCTAAAATATTTTTTGCATTTTTTCATTATGAATTATCTATTAATAAACTCTGCTTTTGATTCTAAACAAATTTACTTAATATTTTGTTTATATGCTAGCAAGTTTTCAGAAATGTATTGTAGTTCTTGGAACCCGCTCAACCCTATTCACATGGCGCGGAGTGTTGAGTGTTTGGGGAATCAATTCGCAAGTCGATGGCAAAAGCTGCAAATTGCTTTTAATTAAACGAGCTGTGCAAATGGCTCAGTGGGCGGGGCGCAACAAATCTGGAGCTGGATGACTCTTCGTACGGTTTCAAATTCAATTTCGCAGCAGCCAATGCCAATGCGTTTGGCAGCTTAACAGTTATGTTGCAGGCAGGCAGGGGGGAGGGGGAAGAAGCTGATGATAAAAAAGTTGTTTCTAATAGTCGAGGGGTAGCGGAGAAGCGAACGAAAAGTAATCAAGTTTTTCAGCTGAAGGTTTTGGAAGGGCTTTAGCCCATTTTAGTGCCCACTAAATGCTTAAGCGTTTTCCACTTTTGTGCCTATGCAAGTATTTTAATGTATGTGTATTTCCGGCTCTCTCTCTCTCTCTCCTCTCTCTCTCTTCTTCTTTTGCTATGCTCAACTATAAAACGGCCTCGTGTGTTCCGCCTCCTGCCATGCGACGCTGTCAACTTTGGAACTGCTGCCCGAAAACCAAATACGCGTTTTATTTATTTACGCACACTCACACACACACATGCACGCGTGACTGCCATCTGTGCGTGTGTGTTGGCCTCGTTCGTCTTCGTCTTTGTCAACACACAACAACAACAACAACAACAACAACAACAACTGTTGCAACGTGAAAAACATTGTTATAAAATTGCATTGCGTCGCTCACGTTGCGCAAACACGTATTCGTATCTCGGCCTCTGCATCTGCATCTGTGTATCTGTGTATCTGTGCATCTGCATCTGCATCTGCATCTGTATCTGTTAACGTAAACGTAAACGTATACGTATCTCGTATCCGTATCTCGCCAAACGCCAACGTTTGCATGCCAACGTACGTGTGTATGTGTGAATGTATGTGTGTGTGTATCTTGTATCTCTTAAATGCATTTACTTGCATATAAATCACACACTCACACAGCTATACAATACGAGATCAAGTGCTCGACGATGGCATGGTCTCCGAATTGGGCATTTCGCACACATACCGTCAGGATACAGGCATTTATATCTGTCAGGCCAACAATGCATTTGGACAGGTAAGTGCATGCTGACACTTTTGTGCCACACACACACACACACGCACACACATACACCTACATAATGTACAACCAGGGCTGGTCGCGTATAAAAAGCAATCAAAAGTTTGCAACACTTGATGTTGCGCTTAGAATATTTGATTACATTTGTTAGTCATTTAAATAGCTCGTAAACAGCCTGGCCTAACAATGGGCTGGAAGTTTCAAATGTGTGTGTGTATTTAGTTCTTCTGGTAACTCAATATATGCGCAAAGTCGTAGACAAATTAGTTGGCAGAGCTGTGATAAGTGAGTGCAAGCAAAATGTCATCAGCCACAAATTCCATAATGATATGAGTGAAAGTGAGTGAAAAAGTAAAGCAAAGGCCAGTTGGTAACTGGAAATTCCTACTGCTAGCAAGGGTACTTATGTATAATCTTATACTTATATATAATCTTATACTTATATACTTATATATAATCACTATGATTAGTTAAAGCCAGAGCTGGTTATCTGGTTAGTAAGCTAAGGTAAGCTTTAGTGGGTTTGTCATAATTCAGGCAGCTTTGCTTGACATCTAAATAGTTGGGCTTATCTTTATAAAAATGATTGAAATGATAAATACAGTCGAGTCTCGATAATTTGTAATCCACTCAATCCGAGATTGCGATAAGTCGAAAAGAAATTCGTTCCCGATTATTCTCCTTAATTTGAATTTCTGTATAAATCGAAAAAAAAAACTGATGCCCTTGCCATTTCGGATTATAGGGATTCTACTGAACTCATATCTTATGGAAGTTCATTGACATCAATCAAGCAGTCAATCAGTTAGCAATTTAAGCTTAAGTTAGCTTAGATGAGTCGTCAATCACTTACTCTTCAGACAACAAAGAGTTTATATAGATTGCATATTTTATCTAAGATTAGCTTAGATTCCAGGCATCAATCATTGCTACATCAAGCAGTCAACAGCTCCAGCTGAAACTTCATTTGCATACATTTTGATAATAGAATTCTAACTGTAATGCTATAGAGTGAACCTTAAAGCTCCTCCAGGAGTTGCTCCAAAGCTCATTCACAGCTCTACATGATTGATTACGCAAAGGTTTTCATAAATTTAATTTGCTGCTGCTGTGACTAAGGCACTGATTGATCATGTGTAAGAGCCAGCCCTAGTAACTATTCACTCACACACACACACATGCACTGCATGCACTCTACATGAGATGTGGCCAACAGCTGTGCGATAAGTTCTCGCCCAGTCGAGTTTGCTCTCCGCCCACCCACTCGCACCGCACATGTCGACTCATTGCCGGCCAACTGGCAACAGTTGTTAGCCCTAATTTATGGCAATTTGAATGAGCCGGCCAGACTAGCTGGGCCGCCCGACTGTGCTGAGTGTGTTTGACTAACAACAACAACAACTCGAACTCTAACTCTTGGTCGACAGGACGAGATGTCCATACAGCTAATCGTGCAGGAGGTGCCGGAGCAGCCGAAGAACCTGCGCATCAACTCGCAGCAGTCGCGCAGCCTGCAGCTGACGTGGAGCCAGCCGTTCGCCGGCAACAGTCCCATCGAGCAGTATCACATCTACTACAAGCAAATCTCAGGTGAGCAAGCGATGGCAGCGATGGGCGGGTGTGGCCAGGGCAAGAGCTTGTGCTCACGCTTCACGCACTTCACAGACATCTGGCAGAATGCGGAGCACATTGACATCAGCGGCGCCCAGACAGTGGTCAACATACAGCAGCTGCGCCCGGCCAAGGCCTACCACATACGCATGTCGGCGGAGAACAAGCTGGGCGCCTCCGAGTTCTCGGAGGTGGTGCAGGTGACCACGCTGGAGGAGGTGCCGTCGGGGCCGCCGCTGCAGGTGCGAGCCGAGGCCAAGAGCTCGACGGAGATCGCCGTCACCTGGGATGCGCCCGAGCGCGAGCACTGGAACGGCATCCTGCTGGGCTACTATGTGGGCTACCAGATGTCGCTCACGCCCGAGGACAAGGAGGTGAATCCCACCCAGGGCTTCAGCTTCAAGACCGTCGAGGTGCGCTCCCACTTTGGCGGCGAGACGGTGCTCAGCAATCTCAACAAGTTCACCCAATACCATGTGATTGTCCAGGCCTACACCAGCCAGGGCAGCGGGCCGCCCAGCAAGGAAATTGCTGTGCAAACAATGGAGGATGGTAAGTGCAAAGCGTCCCCCGGTGGTTCCTCGCCCCCCTTGATTGGATTTGTTAATTGCCGGTGCACAAAAACTGGGGCTGGCGCCGTCTGCCGGCAAACACTCCCTCTCACTCTCTCTTTCTCTCCCTCTCTTTGGCAGTGCCCTCATCCCCGCCAGCGTCGCCGCAATGCGATGTGCTTGGCTCCACATCGATTTATATCACCTGGTCACCGCCGGATATTGACGGACAAAATGGCAAAATCAAGGGCTACAAAGTGTTTTACATATCGGTCGATGAGCTTTACGGTAAGACCAGCTCTCTGCGTGTGTGTGTGTGTGTGTGTTTGCGTGTGTGTGTGCATGTCTGTCCCTCGTTGCCAAATTGTTTGGCTCGCAAATTACTTCAGCGGCATTGGGATTGAGCATTTCGAGGCAATTATGCAAAGCCATTAACCCATTAACCTGAACAGTCCGAATGCCAGCCGAAACTCACTTACGAATTGAAAATAGAACTGTTAAAATGCGAGAAAACTATATGTGTATATAGTATATATAGTATATATACATACATACATACATACATATATACAGTGGAGTCTCGACAAATCCAAAAAATTCTATCTATAAAAAAATTTGTTCTCGATAATTCTCGATAATTTCAATTTCTATGTGAATCGAAAAAGCTGATTACCTTGCCATTTATTATCGGAATTTGCGAAACTCGACTGTATATATAAAGCCTATATATATTGCTATATTCAATTGAAATTCGTACAAGTTATTTTTAAATTTTGATTTTTTCATGTTTCTTAAGTCTGATTATAGTTTGATAACAGAATAAGCAAATATTTTTTCTTTAAATTTCTTCAAATTCGCCTATAGCTCTAAATAACTTATATACATTATATTATATACAGTAGATTTCGGTTATAGCGACACGCAAGGGACCGACGATTTTACGTCGCTATACCCGGCGGACGCTTTAACCAGAAGGTTCCTTTCATATAAGTTTGTATGGGGACCAACCAAGACATCGAATTTTCGTCGACATAAACGGTTGGACGCTTAAAGCGGAGTCGTTATAACCGGATTCTTCTGTATATAATATAATGTATATAAGTTATTTAGATCTATTCATATATATGCATATATATATGCAATATTGATTATATTTTGCTATATTTGATTCCCCTTAACTTTTGACTAATGATTTCATGCTAGACCAACTATATATCTGGCTGCTCCCATATTATAATTGATCTGCCTTCAACAATTTGAATGCAATTCACCTGCCTGGAGCTACTCAAAATTTATTGATTAATGACTTTCATATGTGCATTTCAACCAAATACTTTTCACTCCCCTTTCTCCCTCTCCCTCATTCTATCCCCATTTGCAAGCCCTTTCCCCCACTTTGACAATAGTTGTATACTCAATTTAATTAGCTGCCCTTCGTGCTTGCTCAGCTCGCCGTCGTCATATTTCCAATCAGTGCTAATTGTCGTCATTTTTCTTATCCAGAAGCGGAGCCGGAGGTTGTCAAGTCAACAAATCAATACGTCACCATTGAGAATCTGCGCAAATACACAAACTACACGGTTTGGGTTTTGGCTTACACCAAAGTGGGCGACGGGACGAAAACCAAACCATTTTATTGCCGCACCCATGAGGATGGTAAGTGCCGGCGGTTCAATGAACGCAAAACTGAAACGATGCAGAGGCGGGGGCAGAGGCGGGGCGAGGGCAGTGGATGTGGATGTGGCAGTGGGAGTTGAGAAACTCCCACACACACACACAGCCAATGCTTGCCTCACGTTTACAGTTTCATGCAGCGCATTTTCCTCCCATTTTCCGGCCATCGCCATTGCTTTTATTTATATGATTTTTGCAGTGCCATCGGCGCCGCAGGCCATCAAAGCGATACCCGCGTCGAGCACCAAAATCATCGTATCCTGGCTGCCGCCCGATCTGCCCAATGGTGACATTGTAAGTAGCCACGCCCACAATTAGCAAGCCAAATTAACCCACTCCCACTCTCACGCTCCGGCTAGACTGGCTACACCTTCTACATGTCCATGCTGGAGGGCGGTCGCGAGGAGGGCACGCACAAGCGGCTGCTCGGGCCGTACGTGGAGATGCACGAGACGGTGCGCACGCAGGAGTCGGCCACCTACCAGTTCTGGCTGACGGCCTCCACCAAGATGGGCGAGGGCGAGAAGACGCAGGTGGTGACGGTGCCGCCGAACAACAAGGTGCCCGCGCGCATCGTCTCGTTCAGCCAGCGCATTGTGACGCCCTGGAAGGAGAACCTGGAGCTGCCCTGCCGCAAGGTGGGCGCGCCGGCGCCGGTGACCATCTGGCGGCAGGACGGGCACAACATGGAGACGAGCGCCAGGAAGACCATAGCCAAGAACGGGACGCTCTACTTGCGCGAGTGCCAGGCTAGCGATGCGGGCAACTACACCTGCAGCGTGGAGAACACCTGGGGCAAGGACGAGATCGTGTACAGCATTGTGGTCAAGGTGCCGCCGGAGGCGCCCAACCTGACGGTGGTGAACAGCTACACGGACAGCCTGCACCTGGAGTGGCTGGACAACAGCCACGGCGGCAGCCCCATCCTGGGCTACGTGATCAACTACAAGCGGGACAACGGCGACTGGGAGGAGCTGCAGGTGGACGCCAAGACCAACTCGCACCTGCTGAGCAACCTGTGGTGCGGCACGCGCTACCAGCTGTACATAACGGCCTACAACAAGATCGGCACCGGGCTGCCCTGCGACATCGTCAACTCCTACACCAAGGGCAACTCGCCCGTGCAGCCGAAGCACTCGCAGATGATAACCAACAACTCGACGAGCGTCACCTGCTGGCTGGACTCCTGGGGCGACGGCGGCTGCGGCATACTCTACTTCATGATCGAGTCGCGGGTCTACGGCCGCTCCACCTGGAACGTCGTCTCCAACCACATACCGCCCACCGAGCGCATCTACACGGTCAGCGACCTGGTACCGGGCACCAAGTACCAGCTCAAGGTGACGGCCCACAACAATGCGGGCTCCACGACGGCGGTCTACAACTTTACGACGCTCTCGCCCCAAGGCGGTAAGATATCCCACAGATGTCTCTTCTCTTGATCGCATTTCCCCCCAACTCACTTCCGTTCTCATTCCCCGCTCTAGTCCTCTACAACAACGACCATTCGACGCCCGTCTCGCACTTGAGCGATCTGCCCTTCTATGCGAATTTCAAGCTCCTGCTGCCCATCTGCGTGTCGCTGCTCATGCTGCTGGCGCTCATCGCGGCGGCGCTGTTCCTGCGCAAGCGAAGTGAGTAAAGTATTCCGAGTAAACCTCACACCTAGTCTAAATAGTTCGCTCGCCCGCAGAGCTGAGCAACCAGGCGCGCCTGGCCAGCTCCTCCATGTCGGAGTCGCCCTCCCTGGCCAATCTGCAGAACAAGCAGAATCGCGACCAGCAGTACTTGGCTGTGCGCTGCAACCCCACGAACTCCGCGCCGCGCGGCTCCAACTCCAACGACTCGGGCAGCTTTGGCAAGGCCGAGGGCAACGAGTACATCGAGGACATCTGCCCCTACGCCACGTTCCAGCTGAACAAGCAGACGTACAGCGAGAGCTCCTACAGCGGCAACGTCTACAGCGGCCCGTATCACTCGGTGCGCGGCTCCTTTGTCTACCACGATGTCAAGCCAGAGAGCTATCATGTAAGTCGGGTTGAGCCCATAGGAGATATACATATGTATGTGAATGTGTCTATAATACTATTCCTTTCTCTCTGTCTCTCTCTCTTTCTCTTTCTCTATCTCTATCTCTATATCTATATCTATCTGTATCTCTATCTCTATCTCTATCTCTATCTCTATCTCTATCTCTATCTCTATCTCT